TTCCTTCCCTGAGCCTCGGCAACCGTACTAGGATACAGGCAGACACCTTGCTCAGTGGAGGGAAAAACAGAGGCGCAGAGAGACGAAGTCATACACCCAGGTACAGGTGAGCTGAGAGCTGAGCCAACACTCAAACCTTTCTGTCTCTCATGCTTTTTCTGCTACCAGCTGCTCACCTCAGTGGGATAAGATGGGCTACAACAGCCAGGAATACAAATACTGGCCTCCTCGGCCCTTTCCACAGTGAGGGCTGGGTCTCAGTGCCACCAGAAACCTCTCCAAGTCCTGCCTCAGGAAAGGACCTTAGCTACTTCCACTTCTGTCTGTGGTCATATTATCTCAAGTTTTGCTGCTGGAGATTCTGCTGTTTCTTGCAATAAATAGCTATAGGAAATGAATCACTGCACTTGCTGCAAAGTACCTTGAGGTCACTGACTGTTGCGTGACTCATCTCTGGTAAAAATCTAAACAGGAACTAAATCTTAGAATTTGTGAAGTGAAACTTTACATCCTTTGCAACATCTGCAAACTTAAATCATAGCTGATGCCAACAGAATACTGCATGAGGGGGGCAGAGGGGTTCTCTCTATACCCAGGCGGTGACCCCTACTTACATGAAGCCAAGACACAGAGAGCTGAGAGAATGGCCAGCCATCACACAGCAGTAGAGGGTGGAGCTGTACCACATGCCGAATAAAACGAGACTCCTTCCTTCTCACACAGGCAGCCAGCAGCTCATGGATCAGGTGAAGTTTCTCTAGAGCAGTTGAGCCTCTCCTGGACTTTCTGTACCTCATCTAGGCTTCACAATCCCACTTAGGTCTTGGTGTTTGCAGTGTGTCTTTATACTGAAGCTCACTTGAACTGTGACATGTGGAGAGACACACACGTGTCCTGAATCGTTTCTAGGAAAAACACCATCTTTGCTCCCCAGTTAGCATGCCTACCTAGTTCTATCTCTAATCTCTGTCTGAGAAAATGCAGTGAGTATCCTCCAGTGACTCCAAAGGACAGGGATTGTGTCCTTTGCAGCAAACGCTGTAGCCTATGTGAAGTACTAGAAAAGGCAACACTTCCTGATTAAGCCATCTTTGCTGATGACATCTGTCCAGCTGAAGTACTTTTCCACAACTGAAGAGCCCCCAGCCTTTTAGCTCTAGCTTTTGTAACATGGGACCCATCTGCAAGGAACGAGGCATTCCCACAGAGCAGTGGTGCCCTCTGTCGGTGGCTCCTCTGCACTGAGTGTACATTAGGAAGAAATGAGCTGCCTCACACTTCCGTGGGTTAACTGCCCTTGCCATAGCCCCATGATTAGAAACCTCTGGAGGAGCTGGGAGGACACTGCTCCCTAACTTCCCGAAGGTCTTCAGATGACAAGGATGACATGTGTAATGCAGTGCGTATGTGACCTGCCGCAAATGACCCAGTTCCCCAAGGCTTGGACAACATGTGGTTCTTCAGGTGGCTGGGCCTTGATACTTTTCCTCTCTCTCTTGTGACCAGGCAAACAGTTCATAAGTGTGACCACAACACTGCTAGGGAAAAAGTACAGATTTTACACTGTGCTCCACAAAGTTATTTGCTTAGAGCTAATGCAAATATAAATTCTGTAAGACTTGTCTGGTCCTCTCCAAATAAGAGATGGGCCCTGGTTCCCAAGGGCCTGGAGGAATCTGCTGGATTTTGGTGGTCCCTTTGTAGCTCTGAGCATGCAGGTGTGAACCAGAGCTTAGTGCCACTGTCTGCCCTGCTGGCAGACTTCTCTTGGATTTTCTAATTCCGCCCTCAACCAGGAACTCTTTTACCAGTTGAAACACTGGAGTTTTACATTCAAAGAGATTTTGGGTGTGTGTCTTGTACAGTAATTTGTTAGTTAAGGGGACGATGCCTTTCTCCACACTTTCTACACGTTTGTCCATTCTTTTTTTAAATTTTTTTTGTCTTTTTCTTTTTTGTCAGTACCGGGGACTGAACTCACAACCACACACTTGCAAGGCAGGTGCTTATGCTGCTGGGCTAAATCCCCAGCCCCTGCCCCATTCTTTTGATGCTGGGATGAAATGATAACCATGATCTTAAAGACTGCCAGGACACAGCTGCTACTGGTTCACGCAGTCACAGAATGTCAGGAAGGCACGCTCTGACTAGGAACTTACTGTCCAGATAAGGAAGGACTGTCTGTGAAGTGGGAGGGGACAGCCGTTCTCATCTGGAGCCACCATGTGCTGACCATTATGGTTTAGAAAGAATTCTCACCTGCATCCTCTAAGCTTATGCTGTCAAGATTAATTGCCAAGCTCCACTGAGCTTTGTTTTCCTTGCCATCCCTGTACCCTTAGACTGGAGTTTCTGATGATTACAGGCAAGGGAGTAGGAGGAGGAGAGTATCAGGTTCAAGGGCAGAAGACCAGCAGCCCACCAGCCTCCCAGGTCCCAATACTTGGGATTGCAGCCTCTAAGGCCTCCTGGAGTCTGAGTCAGGGAGCTCAGGACAAGGGCAGGATGTGCATGACTTGCACACTTTGCACACTTTGCACTTGGTCTCACCTGGCAGCACATGGCAGCTGTGCACGTCATGACTCAGACCACACAAGAGCTGCAGCGCATTGCTCATTCCGCAGATGAATGCATCTCTCCACTCTCCAGGCCCTAACTGCACGCAGTAAGTAACAGCAGTGAACACACACATCCAAGCTTGTACAGAGATGGACGGTAACCCTGGACGGCAACCCTCTAAGCTGGATTCTGACTTGGAAAGGTTAAGGAGGACCACCTGAGAAAGAGCTTCAGGAATCTTAACATCTCCAGGATGAAAGAAGACATTCCAGAGAACCTGTATGCTCTCAGTGTATGGTGCATGCATTATATATGTGTCCATGTTGTGTCCATGTTGTATTCAGGATGATAACAAACTGGTCATCATTATTACAAGTAATCCTAAAGGAAACTAATAAAGATGATGTCTGCTTAAAACATAAAACCTAAAGCTGGCCACTCTGTCTTTCTGTAAGTCTCCCTCTATGTTAGTCTAATTGTGTATAGTAGTTGGAATATCTGAATAAAGAGACCATGAAGAAAACTATTATTCTACAGGTTTGCCTGTGGGTTACCTCTTAACACTGTAGAGAGTTCTGTTTTAATACACGGACTAGGCCCCTCCATGGATCCTAAGCCACCTTTGTGGCTCCTGGGCACCGTACCACTGCCTTGTAGCCCTTCCTCTGCCACTGTGAGAAATGAACACAAGGCCAAGCAACTCCGTCTTGGATTCAAATGATCTGGCCATGTACTCATTACTCACGCCCTCTCTTAATACCCTGAGGTTGGAGAAATGGTGACTACGTACTTCTTCCCAAAACACAGCCGGGCTCCAGGATAAGAGCCAAAGACTTCTCCAGAGGAAGCCAATGGCATTTTTTTTTTTTTTTTTTTTTTTTTTTGTACCAGGAATTCAACTCAAGACCTCATGCTTGCTCAGCAGGCACTATACTCCTGAGCTACTTATCCAGCCCTCCAAAGACTTCTCTAACATACCAGCATCACCATCATTCCCATGCCATTGAGAAAGTCAGCCGTGATAGACTGTAAGACTTTGAATTCAGCCAATGAATTTAAAGCACAGATGCTTCTCCTGTTTTAGGGATAAGAGGGGTTATGCGCCTGCTGCCTAATGCTTGTGCCCTTCTGCAGACGAGAAAAAAAGCCTTGCTGAGATTTCTGGGTGACTGAGTGCTTTATTATCTGCACTGACAAATGGACCTTGGGGCTTATTTCCATCATCACTAGGAGTGAAAACCCCTGCCTTGAAGCCAGTGGACTATGCTCAGGAAAGTGCTAAGAAAATTCCTACAAAAAAACTAGAAATCGGAAAAAAAAAAAAAAAAAAAAAAACTAGAAATCAGAGCACTGTCCTGTTTACACTCGCCTGGGTCGCATCCATTAAATGAACCCTCATTGTTTTCAATCTCCGGGCTTTTATGTTATCCTCTTTTCACAGTTGAAGATACTGAAAAGTGAACAGCAATATATTTGTCATTATGTGTACTTCTGTCCTTATGCAAAGGGACTTAACAGAAGAGCAAGTTAATCTAGACAACATAAACAAACAAACAAACAATCTTGGAGTAGGCTGCCTTGTCTAATGACAGAGGTATAAGGAAAGACCTATGCATAAATAAGTATAGGTCAGGCTGGGAAATATGACCAAGAAAGTGTGGGCCTGGAGAGTTTGAACCCTCCAAGCTAGGTGGCCCAGGATACTCCATTTAGTGGCAGGAACTCTTCCCTTTTCCTTGGGCAGACAGTGGCCTCAGGATCTGAGGGCATTTGATACCAACCTTGGGTTCCCTTCACTTTAGGAGTAACAGGGGAAAAGAAGTGACACACACAGAACAGATGTGCTGCTGGTCCTCTCTGTCCTGCGATTGCGTCCAATGCCACGATGGAAAAGTGGATTTAACTGCTTTTACATAAAAGTCAGATAAGAACACACTCATTCGTGGTGTAAGTAGGACAAAGAGGACATAGACATGACCAGTAATATGCCCCCTGGAGGAACAGGGAAACGTCCACAGTATGGACCACAGTGACTTCCCCACGCCCCAAGCCACCCTCTGCAGTCCAGGCCAGCACCATCACACCCAGGCTTTGGCAAGTTTGCATCCACATCAATTATTCCAATGGAGCTGCTGGGTTTTCTGGTGCCTGCTCACAAATGGAAAAACAGAGGATGAAAGAAAGCCCAGCAGGAAGGAGCACCTGGGAAGCTTTGGGGATTTTCATTACAAGAGGGCAAGCAGAACAACAAAAAGAGAAACAAAACAGGGCTGTGGGGCGGGCGAAGGGGCCTGCAGAGGAGGAACTCGCTCCTGCAGGTTCTCACAAAGGAGAACAGAGCCAAGGATCACCCACTTAACCCAAGGACTAAAGGCTTCCCATAAGGATGTGTGTGCACACAACTGCTGTGTGAAACCATGTTTTAGCTCCATGTTACATACCGAACACATCATTGTCTTCTGCAAGTTCACCAAGGTTGCGCTTTGCTTCAGATTCTCTTCTGCTAGCTTCACCGTTCTAGGAAAAAATGGAGCAAAATCCCCTGTTCAGATAGAGCTCTAGCAATACATATTGTTATGCACTTTTTCCTCTTACACATTTTAAAAAATTAGATGATCATATTCTCACATCTGTCTTCAAGTAGGAAATGGAAGTTCAGTTCAAATACATTGTATGCAAGGGACTCTGAATTCCGGCTCTGCTACAGCCCTTAAACCTTCTCACAGTCTGGCTGAACATTTTCACACGTGGAAACTGAGAATGAGCTTGGATAAAATAGATTAGCTGAGCATCAACAGGTCAGTGTGCACCATGCCCACATGGTCACTGTTCTGGATTACAGGTAGCATCTTGGGCAGAAGTGACACCAGACAGCGTTGTTGAATTACAACTTTGGCAAAATGGAAGCCAGTCAGGACAGAAGACATTGCTCAACAGGGGTGCTCCAGTCCCCATGATTGGGGGAACAGCCTGCTGTCCGGGCTGTGCCATAGCTGTGAGCCCTGTGTGCCTCTGGGAATCTGTCCCCTCAGGGCAGCTGTTTTTTTTTTTTTTTTTTTTGCCTCTCCTTGGGGGCTTCCATCTGCTGATACCTGGAACCCAGATGGCACATGAGTCTGAGTTTTATTTTTGGGTTTAAAATTTCTAATACATAGTTTACTCAGGAGTATACAGTGTAGAAATAGTTCCATTTCCTTACATTTGTGGAATTGATTTTACTTGATTATTGTATCATGCCATACTTGCACACGACACTAAATTCAGAACGGCCTGGCAGGGGTGCAGCAACCACGCCCTGTCTCCCCTTGAGCTTCCAGGCTGAACACTTGCCCTTCTGGAACATCAGCCTTTCCAGCTCCTTCTGGGTTCCTTGCACCTAGTTTATGCACCTCCAGAAATGGCACCTTTGCTCTCCTTTCTGTTTCTTTCCACAAACAGCCTCATGCTGTGGATGTGGCTCTGCTTCCTGCCTTTGCCACGGAAGAAGCAATCCTGAGGGTGGCTTCACAGCAGTCACAGCCGTCTCCTTGGCCCTCCTCTGCCTGGGTTCCAATGTTCTGGTCACCGAGCCAACCCGGCCAGGCTCCCCTGATGACTATTCAGCTTGTCTGCATACAGTTTTTCAATGATAACCGGTGCTGCATTGATTCCTCTTAACTCCTCACAATGCCCAGGGATAGGCAACCTCCTGCAGCTGAGGAAGTCAAGGTGGCACCTTTTCCAGATGCAGCTGAGCACCTGCAGGGTGCTGTGTGGCCATCTCTAGCTGCAGAGGGGCCATTTCTCTATAGCATGGTTTCCTCAGCTTCTTCAGCTGGACTCTGCAATTATTTTATTCCACTATTTCCCAATGTCTCATTTCTTAAACATCTCTAGCCCAGGACTACAAAATGTCCTCAGCTTTATTACACGCTTTTTTTTTTTTTGTCTTTTTCTTTTTTATCGGTACCAGGGATCGAACTCACGACTGCCTGCTTGCAAGGCAGGCGCTTATGCCGCTGAGCTAAATCCCCAGCCCCTACACCCTTTCTTTCAGAGAAGGAGCAGTCAAAGGCACTGAGACATTAACCTCTGCAGTCAGCCCAAAGTGCACACTTCGCTCTGGGCTTCAGTGGCTGTGGACTTTGGGCATGTCATTTGGCCTCTCTCTACCTGTTTACAGAATGAAGGACATGCTAACATTGCTTGGCATGGTTGTAGTAAAGATAAATAGCTAATATTTTCAAGGCATTTAGAAAATATCACGCAGAAGAAATTCTGATGGGAAGTCTGAAAGGACAGCTGGGTCCTGCTAGCTGGGTGCTCCTCATATCTGTGCTCTGAGGTTCTCCCCTGGAAGATGTGTTCTGTCAGAGAGGCTCCCCCGCCTCCAGGGCCCTCTTCCTGGACTCCAGCCCATCTTGGTGAGCTGCTGTCTGTGGAGGTGGAGCAGAGCACAAGGCCTTTAAATCCAAGAACAGTCACCAAGGCTCTGGGGAGTAGCTGTCATGGTGTCACCTTGTGGGCCCCCTGTCGAGGCTGCGCTCTCTGTCCCAGAGAGGACAAGCTGTTGCCAGGGAAGCAAAAGCAGAGGCTTGGGTTGGTATTCTGGGGCTGGGTTGGACTGTCTGTTGAGAGTGGCAGTAAATCACAAGACGCCAGTACACTTCCTGTCTCTGGGACTCCCCCACCCCATCCCATCCCACATCCAGGGCTTTCTATAGTTTAAGTCACGTGTGACACTTCAGTGCAAACTGCCTTGACTAATTCAGGAAGCAAAAGTATGATTCAGACCTGTAGCACTCGGTGAGTGTACCCCAGTGCTGTGTGTACCAGGAGAGGAAAACACAGACACAGCACTTGGGATGTGCCATCCCATGCCACAGGGCAGTTCCTTCATGCAGGGGCAGGCCTTGGGCCTGTGACAGCTACTAGGGAGGTGGATGAGACCTCTCAGTCAAGGGTTCTGTGGCTCTCCAGCACTGTGAGCAATGTGACAATGCACTCGATAGTTTCAGAGGTACAATATGTGTGAACCATCCCGCATCAACAGTCTCATAAAAGCTAACTTTCTATGTGTTTGTGTAACCCACAGTTCTACCTCAAGGCAGATAATGTTAGCATACTATTGCTTGTTTAGGTGCTGAGGAATACAAATCAGGCACAGAATCATAGATATGTATCATGTTGTCTACTGTATTGAACAAGGAATCTTTCTCTTATTAGACCCAATTCACTTATTTCCACAGCCACTGGTATCTAGCTAGTTTTCATGGTTTATGTCAGTGGCCCCCAGGCTCATGCATTTGTATTGTGCATTTGTGATTGGTTTGCTGTCTAGCGCTTAGGTTGATGGTGTCAGTGCTACATCTACCTACAGGTGGAGCCAGCATACAATGTAATGGCAGGAAGAAGGCATGTCTTGCACTCTTGCTGGTGGACTACGGCCCCACCATGCCACCCAGCCTTGGAGCCAACTGAGTGTGGACTGAAACCTCCCAAAACTGTAAGAAATAAACCTTTCCTTTCCCAATTTTGGGCATCAGGTATTTTGTCTCAGCGATGAGTAAAAAGTAAGTAAGACAGAATTTGGTACCAAAAGTAGGGTCGTTGCTGTGACTGTATCTGACCATGTTTTTTGAGAGGCTTTAGAAATGGCTTGTGGGCAGAGTTTGGAAAGGTTCAGACATGTCGCCTGGATGCACAGAACTGGAGCAGCTTGGGCTGTTCTGTAGAGGAGATTCTGTTCAGAGCTCAGAAGACCAGAAGGCTGATAAAAAGCCTAATAGTAAAGACCAGGCTTGGGAGGTTTCTAATGGGAAAAGGGATTGCATTGGTTGTTGGAATCCCCATGATGTGTGTTATGGCTTGGCAGAAAGTTTGTCTGCATTTTGCTCATGTCCAGAGACTTTGCCTTAGATTGAGACTAAAGGCAATGGACTGATTAATCTGGCAAAGGAAATTTCAAGCCAGTCAAATGTTGAGGCTGTGGCATGCTATTGTTGGGGGCTTTTAGCCAAATTAAGAGCAAAGAACCCAGGAGGATAATTTACAGCGCTGTGAGTTTGGCCAGAAGGAAAGCTCCAGTAAAGCTGTGGATTATAAAGATAGAACTGAGACTTTGATTGCTCAGAAGAAATAGAGAGATAAAAAAAGATGGCCACGTGGCATCCCAGGAAGCAGTGGGTCACCACCCTTTGTAGCCTCAAAACTACAAAAGCAAAAAAATTTGCTCAGAGGAAAAAGTTGCAGGGCACCATGCTCCAGAACGGTGACAGAGGCCACACGAGGTTCTAGAATGGCAGCAGCCACATAAAGTTCCAAAATGGTGGCAACGTAGAGAAGCTTTTCCTCACAATCAGGTAAGCAGAGCCCAGTGATCCAGGCACTAGACCCCTACAGCCAAAAAAAAAAAAAAAACAAAAAAAACAAAAACAAAAAAAACCCTGGCTACTGCTCCAGCTGATAGCAAAGCTTGGTGGCATCCACATGGTGCTGATTTTAGGTACCCCGAAATGCACAAATTCTGAGGGTAAGATGGCTTCCACCTTGATTGCAAAGGGCCTGGGAGGCCAAGCAGTATGCTCCTAAGAGGGCAATTTATAAAGATGTAAGGGTAAAGCCAAAGGTGCAGTGGAGACCCCCAAAATTTAAAAAAGCCAAAAATGAAGGTCATCTAAGAAAAGCTGCAAAAAGTGAGCAGAGAGGGTTTATAAAAAAAGCTGCAGGAGCTAAAATCCCTAAAAGTGCCATAGAGATGAATCACCCAAGCCTTTTAGGGCTTGCAACCAGATTACTTCAAATGCTGAGCATAAAATTCTAAGACTTAATGTTCACCCTGCTGGATATCGACTTGCTTTGTTTCCAATGCTTAATATTCCCCTGTTTGTAACTTTTGGAATGGTAACGTTTATCTTGTGCCTTTGCATTTCAGAAATGTTTAACCTTGTTTTATTTGTACAGGGGGTTACAGTTAAGAGTTTGTCATAGATCTTAGAGGAGAATTGAGACTTAAGACTTCTCAACAATGCTAAAACTGTTAAGACTTTGGCAACTCTTGGAGAGGGACTAAACGTTTTTTATATAAAGGATGTACATGAGTCCTGGGGGTCAGGGGTGGTTTATGTCATGGTTTATGTTGGTGGCCCCAAGCCTCATGCATTTGCGTTGTACATCTGTGACTGGTTCATTGTCTAGTGCTTAGATTGATGGTGTCAGTGCTATACCCACCTAAAGGTGGAGCCAGTACACAATGTAATGGCAAAAAAAGGCATGTCTCGCTCTTTGCTGCTTTCCACCTTGCTGTTTGCAGCTCCCATGAACTGCGGCCCTGCCATGCCACCCTGCCTTGGAGCCAACTAAATATAAACTAAAACCTCCAAAAACCATACAAAATAAACCTTTGCTTTCCCAACTCTGGGCATCAGGTATTTTGTCTCATTGACAAATAAAAAGTAATTAAGACACTAGGCAACTTTTCCAATATTCTCCCTGCCTCTAGCTTGAGCAGACTGTGCATCAAGACTATGCTTCCTAAA